TAGTAAAGAAAGATTTTGCACACCGATAGATTTTATTCAAATTAAAAATACCTGTTTTGAAATTAAAAGTAATTTTATTCAAATCAAAAATGATATTATTCAAACGAAAGATACTTTTATTCAAATTACAAATAACTTTATTCAAATTATAAATACTTCTATTCAAATTAAAGATAATTTTATTCAAATTAAAAATACTTCTATTCAAACTAAATATATATCTATTCAAACTAAATATATATCTATTCAAACTAGTTACCTCTAAATTTAAGATACTTTTATTCAAATTAAAAATACCTCTGTTGAAAATTAAATATAATTTTATTCAAATTAAAATTATTTTATTCAAATTAAAGATACTTTTATTCAAACTGAAAATAATTTTATTCAAATTAAAAATACTTCTATTCAAATTAAAGATAATTTTATTCAAACTAAATATACCTTTATTCAAATTAAAGATAATTTTATTTAATTAAACATACATTTATTCAAACTAAAGATATATTTATTCAAATTAAAAATATTTTTTTTCAAATTAAAGATATTTCTATTCAAACAAATGATATTTTTATTCAAAATGATAATGCCTCTATCCAAATTATATATACTTTTATCCACATTAAAGATACTTTTATTCAAACTAAAGATATTTCTCTTCAGATTAAAAATACCAACGAATTCCTGTTCTCGGGCTATCTTCCCCTTTGCCAAAAAGGATTCCAGCATTCATATGCATGGCCTTGATTTTTATATCCGGGATAACCTTCCGTCTTTTGTTATTAAACTCTGTCAGCTATCTCTTTTTCGTTTATCGCTCCCCTTCTTCCTAGGACTGCAGTATATTACACATAATAGCTGACTGTATAGAAAAGGTACTTCGTCTCCATCCATCTCTGAACATTTTCGTCTTCGGAGACTTTAATGCACACCACGACATGTAATTTAAACATTTTTAAAGGTACTGATGTTGCCGGTATCCAGACATTTCATTTGTCCATTGGCCAATCCCTTACTCAAATCGTGGACTTCCCTACTCGTTTCCCTAGCAAAACCAAACAACGGGCTTCTATACTTGATTCATTTCTTATCTCCTCTCCTTGTTTTTCCCGAGCTTCACAACACTGCCTTCTTGGTAACTCAGACCACACTGTGGTAGCTATTGATATTTCGTTACAATCATCTATTAAACAGGAAACCCCTATTCATAAGATCTCTTTCCGTTACTAGCATGCTGATTGAGACTTAGTGAACTTCTTCGTGACGTCAACACCCCCCGCCCCTGGACTGATATCTTCAACCTCGCAATTAAAAAAAAATTGCGCCACTGAAGTTTCTTCTCAGTCCAAAGCCGACATGGACGCTTTCGACCCTTCTCGGGAATACCAGGTGAAATCTCAACCCTCTCCATGGTTCACACCAACATATTCGTCCGCTATAGAACACAGGAGACCACTATTTTCGGTTATACCAGGGTCCCAGCTATGTGCAAATAGTTACCCTCAAAGGAGTCAAAACACAATGAAAGTATAAAAATAGGTTTTAATAACCTCAAAACCTTTTGGGAAAAAATTAATACCAGCAATACATTTTTGAAGAAAAAAATTTATTACCAGCAATACATTATTACCAGTAGTACACTTTTGAAAAAAAATATTACCAGCAATACAAATTAAAATCTTGTCGGCATTAAATAACTCATTGAGGTTGATATGCCGTAAAACAAAACAAAACAAACCAATAGATAGATAGATAGATAGATAGATAGATAGATAGATAGATAGATAGATAGATAGATAGACAAAAAATATTATCAGCAATAAAATTCTTGTCGGCATTAAATAACCCATTGAGGTTGATATGCCGTAAAACAAACCAAACCAAACGAATGCTAAACCCAATAGAAGAGGCTTTCAGTTCTTTGAAAGCAAGGTTTTATTTCAGCAGATCCTGAAGCTTTGTGCAATACAGAGCAATTAAAGAACAAATTTACTCGGATTTTGAAGAAATTCTTCGTGAATGTCAATTGTTTTTATTCTCTTCTGCCCGAATTTTACGAAAAAGAAAATTTCGAAAAATGTTTGGCCAAAGCTCCAATATTGTAACATGTCAAAGTTAGTGTCAATAATTATTTTTTATTTACCTACAACACAAATGAGCAAATATATAGTTTACAATATGCAATCAGTTGTTTTAATTTTAATTTGAATTCTATCTTGAATAAGCGTATCTTTTATTTTGACTAAAGCTATCTTTAGATTAAATAAAAGAACCTGCTCAATGAATTTTTTATTTTATTTTAAATAATGATCTCTTATTTTTGAATAAAAGTATTTTTAATTTGAACAAAAACATATCTCTTATTTGAATAGAGATATCTAGCTTAGTAAATATCTTTGTGATGATTTTATTATACAAATTGATAGAGGACCAAAGAGAAAGAGATTTGCTGGTGGACAGGATTTAATATAAGCGCTACAGACGGTATTTACTCTGTACCCCCCTTCCTAGGACGAGATGTAACACGAGATCTATTTTTAGGTAGGGACCTGAGCGAGTACACCCGGGACAGGAATAAAAATTCCCCTCAGCCCCCGCAATCGATCCCTCCCTCTGGTGCAATTGGAGGGCGCAGCCTTGGGCAGCTGTTTCCCAGGGCTGGGCACCTCTTCAGTATTATTTTCCTTAGTTGCCCCTCTGTCCTTTGACAGAGAAGCCCTTGAGCGCACTCTGCCGAAAGACAGAGACGCAACTGAGATATGATAAGTAAACGTTTAACTACTCAAAAAAAGAGTAATTTACACACTATATAAGCGGTATAGACAGAATAAGTTTATACTATTAATTACGTTTAAATCTGTCTGAATTTATAAAGCATGTGGTTAATATGACACAAAAGAATTATACAGTATCGCAAACATTGTCCATATCTACGCTAGGTGTACGAATTAAATGATTTAAGCATATATATGTTTCATGTACAAAGAACCTTTTTCTATGGTTTTCAAACCTTGGCTTTAGGAAACACATATAGTTATTATTTTGTGCTCAATTCATAAATTTTAAGATACACTATAGAATTTCCAGGAATCCTTCACATATTGTAATAGTTCTTCGTTGTAGATGACCGATAAAAATTTAACAAGTCCGCATTATTACAATAAATAATACATCAATAAATTCCTATCTTTCAATTTTCTTCTCTTCAGATTTCACTTAACCAAAACCGATCTTCGCGTCGCACTTTGAGACCAAAAAGAAGATTCAATAAAAATGCCATCATGGAAACGAATTTTCCGACATCGACGAATTTTTGTGATTTGTCTGGAAATGATTCTATTCTTTTCAGTGATTAAACTTCTCGCACTGAAAACTCGTCACCAGTTTCTCTTAAATAGAAAGTTTGAGGACAACGATATTCGTAAACCATTGTTAAATTCATTTGGAACGAAATCTCTCGAGAAAGGCGCGAACTTGAAAATCGTTCAAGAAGAAATAGTGCACGACAGAAGTGGCAACAAGCAAAGATTAGAAGACAAAATATTGATTCTTAAGACAAACAAAAACCGAAAATATCCCCATGAAGATGACACGCTGCGAAGACATTTTAAAAAAGAACCGCTCGATCCTAATTTTAAAGAGAAAATAGACGAAGATAATATTGCAAAAATACCACAGAACTACATGCTACGAAGACATTTTAAAAAAGAACCGTTCGCTCCTAATTTTAAAGAGAAAATAGGCGAAGATAATATTGCAAAAATACCACAGAACTACATGCTACGAAGACATTTTAAAAATGAACCGTTCGCTCCTAATTTTAAAGAGAAAATAGACGAAGATAATATTGGAAAAATACCACAGAATTACATGCTACGAAGACATTTTAAAAAACAACCGCTCGCTCCTAATTTTAAAGAGAAAATAGACGGCGATAATATTGCAATTATGAATAATGCAGAAATACTACAGAACTACAAAATTGAAAGTGCCGAAGAAGATAGTCTACAGAACAAAAAAAAGAATCGTAGAATATCTAAAAACAAGTGGAAGCAAGAAAAAACACATATGAAGAATAATTCCAAGAATATTCTACGCAAAGAAATGGTTAATGAAGTTGCAATTGAAAATGAAATGTCAGACAAAAACGATTTACTTTTTCGCTTAATCAACCTGGGAACAAAACCTTTTCTTCATGATGATCTGAAATCATCAGAAACTAATGAAAAGTTTTTAGTGCCAAACATTGTTCATTATGTCTGGTTAAGCAGTGGACGAGACATGAGATTCATTGAAATGCTTGGTATGTTGTCAGCACAAAAGTATATCAAACCAGATTACATCAAATTGCATTGTGACAAGGAACCAACAGGAATATGGTGGAATATGTACAAGGTTAACTTGACAAGTTTGAAAATAGTGCATATCGATTCAGATATAAAAATAAATGGCGTGACACCTACAAATATACAAGTCAAATCAGATATTGCCAGAGTTCGAATTTTACAAAAAGAAGGTGGCATCTACATTGACTTTGACGTTTTCGTTATTCAGTCTTTTGACGATCTCCGAAAATACGAATTTACACTCGGCTTGGAATACCACGGTGACCCCGGTAAAATAAACAACGGTATTATCATCGCAGCGCCGAATGCACGATTCTTTAAAATCTGGCTCGACACGTATAAGGATTTCGATCAAGATGAGTGGGATGAACACTCTTGTATTGGAACTTACCTGCTCGCTCCTAAATATCCATCTCTGATTAATGTAGATGAAAATCGACTTAATTACCCGAGTGGGGACGTGTTCCATTTGATTTATTATGATAACTACAACTGGACGAGGAATTACGCAATGCACTTGTGGTTTCGGAAATATCTGAGAAATAATCCACCAATTAGAGACTTCAATCCTAAAAATATCAAGACCCTGAACTCTACTTTTGGGCAGCTTGCTCGGCGAATATTGTATAACACGACAGACTTAATGAAGGACTTATGATGAAATGGCGTCAAAAGTCGTTCGTCTCAAGAGAAAGAGCAATTTCGATTATTTTTACTTTTTCTTTATTTCGTTTTGTCTTTTTTTTATTTTCCTTGTCTTTTTTCTTAATCTTTCCTCGCGTTTCTTTCTTTCTTTCTTTCTTTCTTTCTTTTCATCGGTTTTATTCCTTCTTCTGCTCTAAATTCTTGTTTCTTTTTTCTTTGTCTTTCTTTTCTTTCTGTTTTTCTCTTCTGTAAGGCTTCTTTTCTTTCCTGTTCCCCCATTTTATTTTCTCTTTTTTCGTTTTTCTTTCCTTTCTTTCTGTTTTTCTCCTCTTTAAGGCTTCTTTCTTTTCTTTCATATTCTCACCCCCCCCTTTATTTTCTCTTGTTGCTTTTCTTTTGTTTTTATCCTTTTCTTTTCTGTCTGTCTTCATCTTTTTTCCTTGCTTTTTTTCTCCGTGTTTTTCCTCTTCTTTCTTTTTTCTGCTTACGGCCATATCACGTTTTTTTTCTTTCTTTCTTTCTTTCTTTCTTTCTTCCTTCCTTTTCATCGATTTTATTCCTTCTTCTGCTCTAAATTCTTATTTCTATTCTCTTTTCCGTTCCGTTCTTTCTGTTTTTCTCCTCATTAAAGCTTCTTTTTCTTTCCTATTCTTTTCCCCCTCCCTTTTTATTTTCTCTTGTTTTCTTTTTCTTTCTTTCTGTTTTTCTCCTCTCTAAGGCTTCTTTCTTTTCTTTCCTATTCTTTTCCCTTCTTTTTTTCTTTTGTTTTATCTAATCTTTTTTTCTTTCTCCGACTTTTTCTTTATTTCACTTTGGATTTCTTTTCCTCGCTTTAATTTTTCTTCACCTTTGGAATTTTTTCTTTTTTTTCCTTCCATTTTTCTTCATTTTCCGTCATTCAGTTTTTTCTTTCATAATAAAACAAAATGACATGATAAACAAAGCAAAATAATAATGAAAATTGTCAACAAATTAAAGTTACATGAAAAAATAATCTTAAATTAAAAAGCGAACTCACTAAGAGAACGGAAATCGAGAAAAGAGGCTGATATATTCAATTTTCTTGATTCACCGTAAAATTCTGAAGTCTCAAGTATTTTTTTTTCATTCTGACTGATCTTATCGTAATATAAAGCAAAGCCAAGTGTAGTTAGAGAGATTGTGTTATATATATCTTCCTTCTGGTGATGGCCTACTAACTGAGGAAAACTAGTCTTCGACTGACGCCTGTAGAGAATTTCACAGAATGCGGAGGTTGAGCCAGGATGGTCAGCGATTGGTCAGAAAACATCGTGTGTGTGGTATTCTGACAGTGATGGATTAACTTTTTCTATGTTTGTTATATCCTACTTATGGACAATAATGGATATGTCCAAATCTTCATAAATACAGTGGAATATACTGTCTGGGGGAGGGCTTAACCCCTAGTTCTACCACTAGCAGTTGATTACTTACTACACGCCGCTGGTGAATCTTGTATGTTGTTCATGTTTTAAAGATTACCGTTCCATTACCAACGTTCGTTTTGGTTATTCTTATTCAGTAACTTTTTCTAGGTTACAACAATGTTTCAGATATAAGAGCAAAACGGGGCGGAATTGGCAGGGGGGCGGGCTTCGTGAATTTGGAAGCGTCGATATGCTTCCCACATACGGGTTCGATAGACGGACTAAGACCGCACGTGGAGGGAAGCTAAGCCAACGAGCGGGCCTGAATCCTGTTGAAGTTCTTCCTCCTGCTCCCTAGAATCGATGCTATCACTAATAAAACAAACAAGATAGAGAAACCCTATTTCGTTGATATAAAATATGAAGTGGCGTCGGGGCCCGAGGGTCAAAAGCAAGTGACGTCATGAAACGCAATAAGAAATAAGTATTTATCTAAGCCGAGTTCTAATTCTAGTCGAATCCATTACATTCACTTACGTGCTAATACCATTGAGAAAGGTATGAATCCTCTTCTCCTCCCACATAGCTATGGATAAATAGCAAGACAGGCTGCGTTCTATAGCCTTGGATGGCGACTAGTCTACCACAGAAAGAAAAGGCAACCTACTGCGGGAAAAAAATCTGCCTCATCAGTCAGATATCGAAAGATACATGATAGCCTAAGCATGTATCACGCATGGCACATAACTGGCTGATCTTTCTAACTTACCAAACAGGACAAGGCTATTTCCTATTTATTACGAAACAAACTATAAAATTTATTTCATCGCCACCGAAGCTTGTTATATAAGACGAATAAAATTAAATCGGTGTCCCAAAACCAAGCATGAAGAATTTATGAAATTATATGCATCTCAGATCGTTCCAAAAATTAACCAACCATGAAAGCGAAAAAGTAACCCGACTTGAACAGTGGTTGATTTTTACCCTTGAAATTTGGAATGTATGCACTTATCCCAACGTCCTTGGTATATTTCAAAACAATTAGCGAAACCCTCTTTAGGTATATAAGTACATAGAAAGTAAGTAGACAATGGTTTGAAAGCTAATTTATAAGATTATGATAATCTGTAGTGAGTTCAATTCTGCCATGTACTTGCGTTTGTTTGTGTTGTACCAGACTAACGCAAAATATAAAAACCAAACATGAAACGGCAAATATTATAAATAACGACTTCTTAATATTTTGAATGATTGGGTTTTTTAAATCTATTTTCTTTCATTCATACGCATATTTTCGCACTTTTTTTTTATCTTAAGACTACTATTAAAAATATGTGGAAATTTAGATTATTCCATTTTAAGAAATGTTTATTACATCTCGTCTTAACGAAATTTATTTTATTCTAATTACGTGTTGGTAGGAAAATAAAGAAAAAGTAAGAGAATTTATTCTATTATTGAAATTGAAGTAAAATTCTAACATAAGAATGTAATAATAATTACTTTTTCTAACGTGTTTAACACTTTGATCCCTGACCACCGCTTTACCGGTGGTAGAGAAAAATGATGTAATGCACATCCACCGGTTGAACGGTGGTAGAGAAAAATGGCGTAATGTACATCCACCGGTTGAACGGTGGTAGAGAAAAATGATGAAATACACAGCCACTGGTTGAACAGTGGTAGAGAAAAAGACGTAATGACCAGCCACCGGCTGAACGGTGGTGTGGGAAATAATGTAATGACCAGCCACCAGCTGAACGGTGGTAGAAAAAATGACGCAATTCCCAGCCACCGGTTGAAAAGTGGTAGAGAGAAATGACGCAATGCCGAATCACCGGTTAAACGGTGGTAGTGAAAAATGACGTAATGCCCAGTCACCAGTTGAACGGTGGTGGGGGAAATGATGTAATGACCAGTCACTAACTGAACGGTGATAGAAAAAATGACGTAATTCTCAGCCACCGGTTGAATGGTGGTAAAGAAAAATGTCGAAAATCCCAGCCACGGGTTGAATTGTGGCAGAGAAAAATTACGTAATGCTCAGCCACCGGTTGATCGGTGGTAGAGAGAAACGACGCAATGCCGAACCACTGGTTAAACGGTGGTAGAGAAAAATAACGTAATGCCCAGCCACTGGTCGAACGGTTATAGAAAAAAATTGTGTAATCACCAGCCACCGGTTGAACGGTGGTAGAAAAAATGACGTAATGTCGAGACACCGGTTGAACGGTGGTAAAAAAGTGGCCTAATCCGCAGCCACCGGTTGAACGATGGTAGAGGAAAATGGCGTAATTCCCAGTCACCGGTTGAACGGTGGTAGAAGTAAATGACATAATGCCCAGCCACCGGTTGAACGGTGGTAGAGAAAAATGACTTAATGCCCATCCACTGATTGAACGGTGAGTAAACACTTCTGACTATTTTTATATCTACAGTGAAACATACTAATTTTTTCCGATTTTTGACTTAGGTGCTCAGGAGATGGGTTAAAATTGTTCTGGGATACAGCGCTTAAAGGGTTAATCTATCACGGTTCCAAAACCGTGATAGATAATCCATTATTTTACAAGGTAAAGTATTTTACAAGGAAAGTAATGAGAACAATAGAACAACAAGTAATACAGTAATACAAAGCAAATGTACAGAATTCAGTTTCTTCATTTTCATTGACGTTATCACGCATCAAAAAGCTCTGTATAAACTCCATCATTTTCGTGTCAGTCATCTGAAATAGAAAATTATACTATGTAGGGGTGACAAGACTTACGGGCCAACCTGGACATAATTAGGTTACAATAACATTTCTAATTTATATGAATACTACCGCGTGAAAAATAATTGTAATAACATTTTGTATTAACCTACACTACATCTCTGTAAATAAATGTTTCTTTCGAATATAACTGAATTGTCTTTACCTTATTCTAGTGTACTGACCAGGGTTTGCTTTATAATATGGGGTAACACTTGTTTGCAGGCAGACGCTTTTCACATGCCGTGGCCATTGTAAGTTTTGACTTATAGATGCCCCGATAGTTACATCATACTTATTATAAAATCCAGGTTGTGTGTGTGTGTGTGTGTGTGTGTGTGTCTGTTCGTTTATATATTGGATCGGATTTCCTACATTTTTCAACCGATTTCAACAAAACTTCACAGGACTACGTAAAATTACCTTGCGGTGGTTCTGACAGCGCCAAAAATTGAAAAAACACAATTGTTTTTGCACGAAATTAATTTGAAAACACGATTAAGAGAATGAAAGGGGGACAACTCATATCGAGTTATACTTATTATAAAACCCAGGTTGTTTGCGTGTGTGTGTGTCTGTGTTCGTTTATATAGGGGATCGGATTTTCTACATTTTTCAACCGATTTCAAGAAAACTTCACTTTTGATTGGCAGGTAGTGTTTCTTATTGTCTTGCACACTTTTTTTCTTTATTTTTACATTCAGAATGCTTTAAAAATTCCATTTACAAGACAATTGTTTATAATAAAATTCTATTCAATCGGTAGAATCATAACGATTGAAAACAATGTTTTTGTTTGAGTTTGGGTTTGACCAATTCGTAAAAAAAAAAAAAATAATTAAGACATGCGTGTCCGTCAACCTTAAACAATAATCGCATGAAAGCGATTTTATAAAACTGGTTTTCATATGATGATCACTAAAACTGAAACCGATTTACCAAAACCGATTTTAATGTTTGTAATTTCCGCTTTCCGTGAAACATTTCTTTATTTTTTTTTCCTTTGAAGAAATATTGTAACTGCAGTCAGTTAGCCTTTAGCTAGCTCAGTGCTGTCTGCTTTATTGAAACAAATCGCAATACAGTGTAACCCGGATATAAGAGAGTTGTCGGGACCGGAGAAGAAGTCTCTTATATCCGGGTTTCTCTTATATCCGGGTTTGGTCTATTATATATACATTAACACAGGCTCTAATTTTGGACCAGAGAAAATCTCTCTTATATCCGGGTTTCTCTTATATCCGGGTCTCTTATATCCGGGTTACACTGTATATCAATTCTCACCTTCCCGATATCTTATATTCGCACCTTGTTATTTCCTTTCCTAATCCTTCGCCAACTCCTAGAATTTGAATGTTACAGACTTTATTCATAGCAGGCCAAGGGAACGCTGTTAGTGTAACAAAATAACTTTTGATATGTTTGTGATGATTTTTACTTGGGATAGAAATGTTTTATCATAGCAGATCTGTATTGACTTTAGAGGGTGCTATAGTTGCCATCAAAAAGCTGTACAGCACTTGTATTTTAATTTATTTATAGTATTTATAATTTCTACAGATAGTATCAACAAACTTATAGTGTAAACTACAGTAATAAAATAAACAAAATAAAAGAAATTGGAATGCTGAAAGGTTTTTTTTTTACTTTAATAATTACGAGGTACTACATAAGCTGGTTCATGTAAAAA